GTTGATTCCTTCGTGAAATTGAGAGATAATTCGTGAGGATTTATGAAGTTAAAGACTACGTGAGTTATTGAATGTAATTATGGGCTATAAAACATTAAGAATGTTTGAATGATTTGAGTGTGGTTGTAATTTTTGTTGTATTGCTCGATTTATAGTGAAATTTTTTGCCGCTTGTGGACTTAGGTCACTACGACCAAATCACGTAAATCTGGTGTTCGATTTACTTTTTTGTTCTTTCTATTTTATTGTTCGATTGCTTGCTCCCGCAACGTATACAATATGGCAATTTGGTGCGTTCAATTTCTCCGGACATGCTTTTGGTTAATGAAGAAACAAGCAAATTTCCCTCTTTTACGTTATTAAGAAAAATGTCTAGTCAATGCTTTAAAACATGCAATTATTTTTTCAATTATTCAAAAGAAAATCCTTGCACTTTTTATTTTACTCATTGATCTATGTAGGACGCGTGCTGATTTTTCCTCATAGAAATTGAGTTCGCACTATTCATGGCATTCTTGATCAACGTCGCCGTTGTGTCCGTGTCTAGCCCTTCTGCTCGGGCCACAATCTTTCGAGCAAGAATGCAGATCAATGCGGCGACTTAACTCTCAATTCTGCTTCATTCTTCCATAAGGTTCCAATTCCTAAGGTTGACTATAAAACAGTAGGACCAAAAGATAACACCACTAACTAGGAATAAGATTCTCATTATTGTCCTATATACATGTGCTTTCAGAATGTGTTGGGAAGATCTAGCTCGACGATTTATGCCATTGCTTTGCTAGCTTCAGGGCAAAGCTCCGCAATCACAGGGACCTATGCAGGCCAATACATCATGCAGGTTGGTAATTAAAAAGCATCATGTAATTGGCTGTTCAAAGTGAACACTCGAACAAATCTGATTTTTCTGGTGTGTTGGTTAATGCCTAGGGATTCTTGGAACTCAAAATGAAGAAGTGGAAACGGAACCTAGTGACTTGATGCATTGCCATTACACCGAGTCTCATCATCTCTACCATCAGCAGATCTTCAGGAGCCGGTAGGCTTACTATCATCGCGTCGGTATGCAAATTCCTACAACATCCCCTGCCACTCCTAAACTTGAACTCTTTCTATCATCATCGGGTGAAGTTATGTGGGCATTTTATGCTCATTCCGTTTGTTGTTATATGATGAAATTGATGCTGTTTTTCAGATGATTGTATCGTTTGAGCTTCCATTTGCTCTTATCCCACTCCTCAGTTCAATAGCAGTGCAACAAAGATGGGACCTTACAAAAACTAAATCTACGTAAGTTTGTCTTTTGATCTTCACACGGTTGAACTTTAAACTTGGTTCTTTATTTCGGAAGTCCTAAAGAGATATCAATTGGAAAAACATGCAAGAACCGGAAGTAATGCAGAAAACATGTGAATTATGAGCCAAATGACAATCCCATTTTTTTGCATCTGTCGATGCAGATTATTTTGATCTCCTGGATACTAGGAATGGGACTCATTGCTATCAACATCTATTACCTAAGTATGGGCTTTGTCGACTGGCCAATCCACAACAGCCTTCCGAAAGTCGCCAACGTTTTCATTGGAATCCTAGTGTTCCCGCTCATGGCCATCTACATCATTGCAGTGATCTACTTAACTTTCCGAAAAGACACTGTCGTGACATTTACTGATGACCCTATTAAGCATGCAACATCAATGGCTGTTGAACATGGAAATGCCGATTCTGGCAACTCAGGGGACCGACTTCCTTATCGAGAGGACCTAGCAGACAATCCTTTTCCGGAATAGTTTGCATCACATCGCTTAACCCTCAAGAAGCAACCCCAGTGTATATACAAAAAGATGCTAGAGTTGACCTATTTACTAGATTTGCGGTCGAAAAAACTATCAGTAGAATCATAGCTAGAGCCAAGATAAGAAAAAAGTAATCCTGGAAAAGAATCATAGCTAGAGCCAAGATCATTCAAAGGTAATCTCTTGCTGCGGCTATTTTTAGCGGAGCCACTGGGCAAAACATCGAGCAAAAATGCCTTTGCAACTTCAAATTGTTAATCTGACTCATCTTAAATTTTTCCTTCAGTACATATTAGCCTACTCAAGATCATTGCTTTGTCTCCAACCTCAATGCATAACAGTTCCAGTAACCTATGAGAGAGGACGTGAACTCTAATATGAGGCAGAGGCAACATACAAAGTAGTAAACGAGAGAGAAAAGACTCCCAGTGCTTCCACCTTTCACCCATTATATCACCCACAATGACAGCACAGATTCTGCATCGGAAAAAAGCAGTAGTCTGATTATCTCATCCCCAATGAAGTTGCAGCTACTTCCTAAGATTTGTTTGCTGATAAAACAAAGATGCGAAGCTCTAAAGAGAACGATGGTAATGTCCATTTGCTGGTGCATTTTGATACCAAAATGGCAAAGTCGAAACCCCAAAACCCCACGCCACTTCCCTTGCGCAACAGCCTCAACGGGATTTGGTATGTTGAATCAATGAACCGAGTCCCTTACCAAGACTTCCATACCAAGTGGACTAGGCAAGGATTCCTTTTCTCCTGCGCCGCACATCTCATGCCCCCAGGACTCAGAATCTATCCCGTGAATGTGGAAGAGTTGATAGAGTTGAGCTGAATAAACCCATAAGTAGTGTCAAACTTATTCAAACATATCAGGAGCGTGAACTATAAATTTTTAGGCAAAATGCAATTTGGTAAAACATGGAGCAAAAGGAGCAGTGTAAGGAAGCATCATTACTCCATTCTCTTGCCTTTCTTCGTAATGATGATAGGCCTATCTTGTTATATCCTTCCGGATAAGCAAATGTGATTCAGGATCATCTTCTACTAACCCAATCATTATGAATAATAGACAATGGGGTGCGTTGTAATAAGTACCAATTAAATAAGACTTGAAAGCTCACAGTAGAAGGTTCAGCAAAAAAAAGAAGCTTCACTTGAGATACCAGTTACCTCATCCCAACCTAATTATTTATGAAACAAAACACAAGGCCTTGCGTTCAGTGATCAGAACACCCGAATTTTTTCAGTCCCTGGTGTATTTCTGTAAGAGATGGTAAACTCATATTATGGAAGATCCACGCTCCTTATTTTACCTTGTGCTGCACATTCTCAATGGTTCGAGAACCTTATGGCCGAAAATGAAAAAGCTATGAAGAACTAGGTCGAAACAGCTACATTTTGCTGATGTCATATAGCTGCAACTAAGCTGTGTACAAATGCTTTGGTTTAAGGCATGTTTCGCAACATTAATCTCATCTGATTCAGAAAAATCGGTTTGTTTTGCCCTCAGGGTAATTTGATTCTATCAGATATTGGCCTTACTGAGAAGCATGTACATCATGCAGCTCTTAATGGGAATAGTAGCCTGCCTAGTTTTTTGCATCAGAAAGAAGACTGATTGTTTCATGGCAACGCCCCCATAGATTTCCTGTTCCAGTTGAGTTTGATATACGCTGATATTTGATCTGGCTCTTGCAGCCAAAGCAAAGATTATCATTATATCCAATTCAAGGAAATGGATACCGTTGACCTTGCATCTCACAGCAAATTTTGCCAATGAAAAATTGAAATAACGTCTGAAATGCAATTGGAGGTAGTGATGCTAATGCAACTTTTCCATGGGTTGTGTTGGCCTACTTTTTGAATTATGCAAAGCCCCTAAATAAAATCTTGTAGGCAGCAATATGCATTTGTAATGCTGAAGCTTCTCTTTCTTTGTCCTGCAGGTTTGATTTGCCAATGCTAGTCTGGATTCGCTGTCTGTGTGTTATTACTCGATTGCATTAATAAATCAAACAATATAGAAATCATTGTGAAATTCCCGTGCACAACTAGAATACATACACTGAACTCGATCAAAATGTATTTTCCAAACCATAGGTTTTTGCCGGTCTAACTAGCGCGGCATTTTTGAATTTGGCCATTTGTTTTTATTTTTGCAGTTTGATTTACTATAATTTGAATGTTCTCTTGTATAGCCAAAGCAAAAGGGAACAGCCGTTAAGTCCGCCTGTAGGTTGAGCTTGGGAGTGGTAGTCACAATTCCATATCGACATTAATCTTTATCCGTGGGCGCTCAATATGTATATATCGCCTGCAAATCTTGACCTCTCAGATAATATATCTGTTAGTTAGATCTCACTGAAACTTTTATTCGGGACATTTCCATCCTCAAGTTGGGGGCTGGACCGCCTGGTGGGATGAGTCTTTTCTACTCATTAAAACGAAACACTAATCGCACTATACGGCATCTCATGTGAAACTCCTCACTTGCGCGTGCCGGCACAAATGTGCGCATGTGAAAAGAAAGAAATCAAAACTTCACGACCTAAATTTTTAAGAGAAGCATCAAATGGCTGCTTAGAAGAGTTCTCATGAGATTCGGCAATTTCAATGCTGTGAACACTTGAGAAGTGGCGAATGCAGCGTGACATGGCATATTTCTTCTGTTACTTTACTGGGTCTTGATTCTTGAATCCTGCAGCTCCCTAACCCCCACAGTTTACCAGCCAAGAAAGAGTCCCAACGACACCATCTCAGCCAGGATCTTATATTGGTTTTTAAAAAGCAAGGAGTCTAATTTGCGTTGCAATTGCGAGACGATAATGCAGATATCCATGAGTATATACTGAAGTTCCATGGAGTTGAAGGGAATTCTACTGGTGGCACCCAAAATTGATCCACTCATCATCATTGCAACTTAAGACAAGTACAATGTTATGCTGTACTTCAAGAAAGAATATGAGCGAAAAGAATTATTCATGTTGCAACAGCTACTCATAGAATAACATTCACCGTATTTCATGCAAATTTGTCTAACACAAATTGAGGCATTCGTGAGATGATTGAAGCCAGTTCTAAAATGATGCAACCATCTTGAAGACGACCAAAGCAGACTTCTTGGGTAAGGATTCCAAACAAAGATCCAAACCTTTTCCTTGTCAAAGACCGCTTAAAAAGTAATAACTTCCGATGGGAGGATAAGTGCAGAATTTCTTCATTCAAGAGTCAAGACGATTGAACCTCTAAGGCAAAGAGAGTAAGCACATTTACAAGATGGACGCGCAGAATCCTTTCTCATTCCATTGGCACAGAGCTTGTAAGCACATGCTTTACAAGAGCTTGGTACAGAAAACCTAGGGAACAAGCACACCGCTTACTCATAGAATCCTAATTGTATACAGATCACTCTCTCCGAGTTCATATGATTGTCTTCTGCAGAGAATTAAGGAATTCATAAACATGTCCCACAATTTGGCAAAAGGCTTCATTTCTAACCAGAGCAGCATAAGCAAATGTGAGAAGCCACAGTGCTTGAGCCTATACACAAAACCAGACACTGAACATCCCAGAACACCGTGATTACTCGCGCTGCAATTCAGTCATGGCATTCTCTCACCTTTCCTTCAAGGAGACATTGTTAGACTTTTTGAGTTCCCAAGATAGTAGACAGCCTCTCAAGGGAGAACGGAGCAATAATGAGGAAATGGAAACTGTTTCTGCCTCATCAATACCGTAGACAGGCAAATGAAGTTGCTTATTAACCTCCTGCTTCTCACTTTCGCATGGTTGGCAGTTGGGGTCAACTTACCGCAGTGACGTTAAGGGCTTTTGGGAAGTAAGTTGCAGGCAGAACCTATGATGCACAGATACAGATGGAATCCTCATTACGAAAGTAACCAACAGCAAGAACTGAAGAATATTATTGGACTAAAAGGAGTACTATTTTCTTTTCTCTATATTTGGGGATGTGTCATTTATGATATACAAGAACTAACAATTCTTTTTTCTTCTTCTGGTCCTCCTTGTGGAAGAAAGAAGACCATGTCATTTAGAGCACCATTATTAGAACATGTATTCATCTCGGAACTAAACAAATGTTTCATTTAAGTGACGTGCACACACACGAGCACACAGACACACAACAAAAGGCTCGCAATCTAGTTTGCACTGAATACCGGAAAACATTCTGCTACATCCCTTTACTGACAAAACCAAATTACTATGGAGATTTTATTATAGGAGCCTTTTAGGCACTCGTCATGTAATCAATAAGGGAAATTTGCAGTTATGCCCTATTTCTTGTTTTGATAAGTGTAATTAATATTTTAGAAATCAAATCTTTCTAAATTAAGAAAACTCGACAAATGCCCTTAATGCACTCATCAACATGAAACTAGATAAACAAAGAAAAAAAAAACAGTGAAAAGAAGTCCAGATGATACAAGTGAATGTTGCAATTTTAAGAAGTGGTACCTTGAAAGTAACCTGGAAAGCTAACAACTTCTCAATCCTCCAGAGTTGGAGAAGAGAAATTGAAATAAAGCAGCAGCATTACAAAAGAGGGGCATTATTGAATTTGACAAAAAAGCTGCAACTTAGGTAGCTCAAAAATGATTTTAAAGGCAGCAGAAAAGCTAGGCCGTGACGACCAATTTCCAGAACAGTTAGGTTTCATGAGAAAATTAAAAAGGAAATGAAGGCCATGGGTATTTTTTATCCCTTTTTAACGTAGACTTGTAGAGTTTAAAAAGACATAAGCAGCAAAAGACAGAAAAAAAATCCAGCATGAACTCAATAGCCCTGGAAACATGCTTTTGGGTTTTATTATATTTCAGAAGAAACTCAGCGTAGAAAAGTGAGATAAGAATTGTATACCTATTCGTGGAAGCCAATTGGCGCATTTTGGAATCAGTTTCCCTGCCAGCTTGTGACAAACATCCTTGCGTGAGTGTTTGTAATTCTTAAAGTCAAGTGATATGTATCACCATTGTAGCTTGCAGCATGGTTTTCCATGAACTCCCTAACCTGAGTAGGGTCCAAGGAGGTAGTCCCGATGAATATTGATTTTCTAAACTTGAAGCCAGGGCATTGCCAAGGTTCAACCTCAAAAACGCCACTGCTTGGATAGTCATGGTCTCCAAATGCATATTCCACACCATGAACTGCCAAGAAGTTGCAATTGTCAAAATGTCGAACTTAGTTTGGAAATATTAAGTGCAGGATATCTGAATTTACATTAAAATGCACGGCGATTGCTCATCCACAGACAATTAATTCCATAATGTCTTTCTCCGATACAAAGTAGCTTCCTCGAGGACACACAGGCAGCAATGTTAGTGTAGGTATACATCCAGCTGTCAATTTCACTCTCTGAGGTTTCTTAACGTATTTATACTCATCCAAACAGTATTCCATCCTATCCTTGCTGGGTAAATAGGGGTTACGAAGGTTTAGAGGAAGTTTGTTCAAAATATTTCTAAAGAAAAAATCATATAAAAGGAATGACTTCCTAACTGATTCATCTTTCTCATAGTTTGTCGAAAGGTAAAATAAAGATATATCCAGCCATCGTCCTTTCAAGTGTTCAGAGGCAGAAGAAGTGTGTAAAGATCCACAAATACAACAGATTACACCAACAATAGTTTGAACTTTTAGTCTTTTTGAATGCATTTTAGATGGAAACCACCCAGCATCAAGCGCAATTCATGTTTCATTAGAACTGCACCTTCTTCTACCTGTGAAAATAAAATATCCCCAATATCTGTGAAAATAAAATATCCCCAATATGTAGCCTTTCGTTTCTACTATTTAATCTATAAGCTCCCATATTGAGTCCAAAAGGACAATCAGACGTAACATTTTCATAAAATACGTACTGAATAAGGTTGGCTTACCCTCTACACCAGAGTCAAAGATGCCAAGTCCAACCCGGTAAACATATCCATTCATTTGGTCTAATCATACACATTGAGATAAACTGGTCAATAACCCGGACCATAGTCAAGACTTTTCCTTGGAAAGGAAGCAAAACTGGGTTTTGCTGATTTGCCTCTTAACGACGGGGAACCACTGATTTCCAAGCTTTCTTCGATCCCAGTTTCCATTCTCATCTTGGGTGAAGACACAAAATCTCAGTCAAGGAGTTTTGCACCCCTGTATGAAAGGCCAAATATAGAAATAAAAGTTTAGTCAAGGAGTGCAAACACCCTGAATAAATAGGCCAAAAGCAGTACCATAAGCAACCTGTATGAAGTTCATGCTGCCTTTTATTTATTAACTAATTTATTTACTTTATCAGGGTGGAGAGAGGAGGGGAAGTTGAGGATGTGGCAACGAATTGGTTGAGTACTAAAAAAGGACAGCTGCATTCTTTTCATTCCAAAGCTCTTTACATCAGTTAACAAATTGCTTCTCAAGAAGAGAAACTACACCACCAAATCATACTGATGCCAGCATTATCATTTGGTGAATGGAATCGTGAGTTATCAAAGTGCCAAGATAATCAACGAGACATTGGAAAATAATCAAATTTCCAAAGAATTACCGAGAACTTCGAGTTCATTGCAAAGAAAATGGGTCACCAACATAGAAATCCCTTTATGACACAAGCCCTTGTGATTATTGGTTACCAGTATAATATAGTTGCGGGGATTCTTATGAATTGGCATGAACTATATCTATGTCATTTTATGAAGTACCATTCCATTGAACAGCCAACAAATGAAAAACGAAAGAGTGAGGACCATTAGCAGAAAAAAGGTCTTTGTATAGGAGTTATGACCACTAAAATTGCCACACCTTGTCTCCTAATATGCCTAGCTAGATAAAAGCTAACAATAAACCAAGGAAGAATGGAAAAATAGTAGAGCCAGGCTCTGTTTTTCTTGAGGATGTTAATTAAGAAAAAGGTTCAAACTTCAATAAAAGAGAGCTGTAAGTATAGAGTACCAATGATAACCTCAACAAGGACTATTCCTAATCCTCAAACGTTCCTTTTCTGACAGGTGATCCTCAAACATTATAGGACAATGACAAGACTTAACCCAAAGCACAGCAAAACCACAGAAAAGAAAATCCCCTGAAAAAGAAAAGACCAAAGAAAATTTTATCCCCGCATGCACATGCATGAACATAGAGAGACAGAGACAGAGACAGAGACAGAGAGAGACAGCGAGACAGACAGGCAGAGACAGAGACAGAGGAACTTACATGAGCCTCAAGGCCAATGATGCTTACACAAAAGCGTCCCTGTCTTTTTAGGACAATCTTTTACAGTGAATGAGAATGCTACCCATCCTCCCATGGCATTATCAAATAGTCTACTTCAGCATTACTACAAAGCAGCGTTTTGGTGTAATAGGCTCCAGCATTGTAGGTCCGGTGAAAGGAAAAGTCTGAATCTTTACCCTGCATTCCGCATAGATTGCTTAACTATCATAAAGTCCAGTAACATGAATCTATATCAAAAATGCTTCTGTATCTTAAAGTCCTGATCAAATCTTCCATTATGCATGAGATGATGTTTGACCATATTAAGCCGGGCCAAAAGTTTCTATAACTCATTATATGACTGTCCAGATGTCAATGTTGGAGTCTCCCGTGAATTTCATAAACCAATAGTTTAGATGAGTCCACAATACGTTTGCTTTCACAGACAATACGACTACATAATTCATGCCTCGGTGCTGGTCGAAACGATCTTAATTGATATAGGGGATCAGTTATCTCACATTTACTACACATTTCCCTTGCTGGCTGCACATGCTTCCACCAGAAATCGGAAAGAGCAAGCTTCAAAAGATCCCAGTATTCCTTATCGCGGTATATTCTGAAAAGACTGCTGCCTTTGGGAGTCCATACATAGAAATCCATCCAATCCTTGTCCAAAATCTCCATCAAACCTTGCGCTTGAGGAATGTAATTTAGATGAATCCGAGACCATGGGGAAGCTCTACTCATATCTCCTTTGAAGAATGGGCACTTGATCTCCAGAACTCCATTGCAGGGCAAGCCATAAACAAGTTGGTCAACTACTCCATCTGGTGAAGCAGCAAGCCAACTGTCTTTGGAATTATCATTTCCATAAACTTGAAACTCGGGGAAAATGACGTTATTTCCAGTGATAAGCTTGTACCTTTCAAGCGCCTCCTCTTCCTTTATATTATTCCAACAGGTAGCCACGTTACCAGAAAATGGCTCGATCAAACCAAGTTTTTCTAACCAGAGCTGGACTCTTCGCTGACGCCAAAAACCAATCGCTGCACCAAAAGTGCTTGCTGTGAGCTTATTTTTCCTTAGTTCTTGCCAATTTTTGAACCAATGTTGAAAAGCATTTGCTTGGAGAATAGAGTTCGGTCCACCACTCGCAACTTTCAGAGAATAACCCAGATTGCTCAACTCCCTTCTAGATGGAAGATTTACGACTTGACTGTGGTTAGAAAGCCTCCCACTATGTGATTCTGACAAGGCCGAGCTGTTATACTCTCTCCTGTAGCTAATAGCAGTATTGACAGAACCCGTACAGTAGCTACTTTTAAGCACAAGATATGAAGGTCGTGCTATGTAGAGCAAGCAAGAACAGACTTCTTCACTGCCAGAAGTAAAAACAATCAGCGGATATACGGATGCAACGTACACAACATATATACGAGGAAAATATAGAGAAAAACAGATGGGCAGACTAATCGATGCGATTGACAAGTAAAGTGAGGAATTTGAGGAAAGTCGCAAATCAAAATGCTCATTTTGACACACATGCGACATTCAGCATGAATACCCATCAAGTGTAAACCAAGTGCAGGCAACATAATCATAACTCTTAATGCACACATAACTGAACTAGTCTCAGCCCCATTCTTATAAAAAGCTTTCTAAAGCCGCAAAATCACCACCACCTCTACCGAGCGAAATCTCTAGCTGGAGCCAAAGCGCTTCGAACTTTCACGCACGGAGACAAAAAAGCAAACCAGCGAGCGATAAGCATTCACACCAAAACATGGAAGACACCACAAAATCAGCGGGAACAGAGCAAATGGGGCAAGTTACGGTGATGATAATACAATACAAGATCGCCCAACACCACGCACGAAAAAACTTCGCATCAAATTCGGTTCTACACAGCTGTTGATTCAGAGATGATTGACAAGGAGAGGCTAATCAGACGAAGCGGGAACTAGCGGAAAAAGAGCAAGTTCCGGTGGCCGACCGAGCAATCTCGTGACGAGACCAGCGCATAAGATGACGCAGGTTAGAGGATGGAACCGATGATGCCGAACGCGCGCCGTTGCTTCAGCCCATCGTCCAGTCCTCCTGGAGTTGCAGAGCATGAGGAAGACGAAGGGGAGGGGTTTTAGCAGAGGTTTGCGAAACTTTATGGAGACAGCAGAAGGGTTTTAGTAGCGGAGAATATGGCGACCTGTACCGGCTTGAATAGTGAACCGTTTGGAGCGCTTCCGGTTCAGTTGGACCGGTTGAAAGTCCACCAAGCCCGGTTCAGTTAGACTGTCTTGGACTGGTCTAGCCACAAATCGGCCAGCCCTCCCTCCCCGACGAAACCATCCCCCCAACATCAGAAAAAAAAAACAAAAGAAAAGGAAAATGACATAAATTGCTCCTGAATTTTGACTTGAACTTTGACTCAATATATAATATGATTCTTGAACTTTTAATTTGTTCAATATGATTTCTGAATTTTAACTCAACGTGTAATGTAATTCATGAACTTTTAATTTACGAATGATGCGCTTAACTATTTCATGATATGCATTTGGCTTTGTCTGATAAGACCGACACCAACTTCTCTTCTGTGAAGGATGCCATGGCTCAATTTACCCATTTAATGGGCTAAACTTGTTCTCTTCAACGGAATGTCGTCTGCTCAATATCTTTGAATACCCAAGTACGGTTAAGGATGAGTTCGTGTTATTGCTGCTGTCTTACTCGCTATCAATATGTTGTGTTCCTTCTGCTTCTCCTCTCTTGATTTTAACTGTTTGTAAACTTCACATTTTGAGTTATTCATGCTTGGACAACCTTTATGACATATTGATTCTTGTGTTATCTTTGTGCAGCTATCATATCTTTACTGTCACTGTAAATTTATTGTCAACATACACAAAGACACAAAGCGAACCCATCTAGGGTGTGGTTGAATTCCCTCACTTCTTCAACGTGTTTCACCTCAAATCACTAGCACTCACTCTAGAGTCGAGAACTTCCTTCACAAGATTGCAGATAGAATCACCAATATCATCCAACTAGATTGGAAAAAGACAGCATGAAGACCTTCCCAGCCTGGAGCTTTCAGATGTTTTAGGTCCCCCACAGGGCCCTTTTGATTGCATCGTAGGTGATGGGCTCTTCCAAATCTCGGCCGAGCTTCAATGGGAGGGTTTAATTCCGAACCGAGGGGATGTTAGGATTTAGAAGGGAAGAATGATCATGGGAAGTGGAGAGAAGTTTGGACAGGTGATCAAGGACATGCTTCTTCAGATATTTCTCATCACCAATCCAATTTGCAGACACATTGCAAACACTATCCTTTACGGAAATGATCGAATTTTCCTTCTTCTTCAAGCTTGATAAAGTAAAAACATGCAAGGTCTACCCGGGCAAAGCTCTCTAGATGTCATGTAGTCTTTCCCAAGTTCTTACCTTTAAAAAGCATTTCACGAAATATTCTTATTCCAATCATTGATCTTTCAATAGTAAGGAGGATTTGAAAGCTTTTACTACTCCAAACATTGGGAACAAAAGGATCGGACTCAGCATGATTAAGCCACATAATTTTGTACGAAACAGTCTATTGGTGTTCCTAGTACAATCGGTAAGGACATCTAACATAACTATACATTAGTCGGAGTGGTACCACCGTGAGGGAAAAGAACAGCTTCATGATAAATATGATGCTACCCTGAATTACCTGAACGGTATCAAGTCATAATTCAGGTAAGCTGAGGACCAACAAAATATGAGGTTGCAATGATTTATGCAATCTTGATAAGCATTACCTTAACGAGAATTCGCAAGTCCCAGCTTATCTTTGCCATGAATTAAAGCATTGAAATCACCCGTTACAACCAAACGGAACACTCTTATCGTCGGCATGCGGTTTCGATTTATCCGGAAGGAGCGATCTCTCCTGCGACCTAGGACTAGCATAGAGGAAGGCCCCTGCAGAAAACCTTGGTCCCTTTCATTCTTGACCTAAACTTGTGGACCGTCCGGACCGACCGTGTTTAGTCTCCGGTCCTTGAGACAAAAAACCCCCCCAAAACCCTCGCTTTAACATCATCGCATTCCTCTGCAACAGATCTTTGTTCTGTCGATTTTCCAAGCTGCTTCTGCAATTTTCCGCGACGAACATCTCACCGATCTCTGGCACCATGAAAGAAAGGTAAGACGTTCGTTAAAGTTTTTCCTTTCGTGACGATCCTGCGGGGAGGATGACGGGATGACATCGAGGCAATGGAGCAGCAAACGCATTTATAAGATCAAAGAGGGATTTGAATTTGATAGGTTTCAGACTGGGGGCATGTGCCGATATTTACCCGGATTGTCTCTTTCTTGAAATTTTCAATTGGGTTCTCTCTGAATGAAGAAGGTCGCTCCTGTTGTTGCTGCAGATTTGTGAGCTAGTGTTCCGCTGGGAATTAATTGATTAGAAAGCGAGCCGACGACGGGATTGCCTGAAGGGGTGGGAGACTTGGGCGCGGAAGAGATCGCGATTCGGGGTATGTCTCCTGATGCGAATTCACCAGGCAAATGCAATTAGATTGTACAGTTAGGTTTCATTTGCTTTAGCTTGATGACATTTGATGTACATGTGATCGCGCTGGGTTCGGATTTGGTCTAGCAGACTGTTCTTGGTTTCTGCATAGGGTGTGTATAAGTATCATGCTTAAGCTTTTAGAGAGATCTCCGAGATATGCGTTCAGAGTTAGCGATGTTGTACGTGTGTTGCCGCCCTCAGTTCCCATTTCGAAATCGTGGTCTTTGTGGATTCAGTCGAAGCAAAAATCCAGTCGAGCAGGAAGACCCAAGAAGAAAATCTACCATAGAGTCCAGGAACTCGACAAAGTCATGGACTTGCAAAAGAAACCAGCTTTAATCCTACAGCTCAAATCTATCATTCAATCCCAAAAGAACCAATCTCTCCTTCTTAGAGACCTAGAAAAAGAAGTAGGGTTCGTTCAAAAGTGGAACTTTATGGCTGCGATTGAAAGGTACCCCTCGATGTTCGACGTAGGTGGTGGTAATGGATCGCCTCCTTTTGTATCACTCACCAAGAGAGCTGAGAAGATTGCTCGTGGAGAAGCTAAAGCCAGGATGTTAATGGAACCCATTTTGGTGAAAAATTTGAGGAAGCTGTTAATGTTGTCCGTGGATTGTCAAATCCCGCTTGAGAAGATTGAATTTATTGGGCCTGAACTGGGATTGCCTGATGATTTCAAGAATATTTTAATCCCAAAGTACCCTGAGTTCTTCTCAGTCAAAAATGTCAATGGAAGAGATTGTCTTCGGCTGGAACATTGGGATTCGTCATTAGCTGTTACAGCCCGTGAGGAAAGACTAGCAAGTGAAGGTTTTTTGGACTCCAATGTAGGTCAAGAGAAGGTTAAAATATCCAAAGATGGTAATTATACAGGTCCCTTTGCGTTTAGACTGAGTTATCCTGCTGGTTTTAGACCAAACACAGGTTATCTTGTGGCAGTTGAGAGGTGGCAGAGATTGGAATTTCCTTCACCTTACTTGAATGCAAGAAGATTTGAGTTGACCGATCCTAAAGCTCAAAAAAGGGTGGTGGCTGTGCTTCATGAGCTCCTCAGTTTGACCATGGAGAAAAGGATGACATATTCACAATTGGATGCATTGCACTCAGAGTATCTATTGCCATCTAGGTTGGTGCTTTGTTTGATCAAGCATCAAGGCATCTTTTACCTCACTAATAAGGGTGCTAGGGGCACGGTGTTCCTTAAAGAAGCTTATGATGGATCAAGTCTAATAGAGAAGTGTCCTTTGTTGTCATTCAATGATAAATTTATGGAACTTTGTGGGCGAAGAAGTACGAGTTTATGTGTAACAAGATGACTTTATCAGATGGTGTTAGATGACATATACTTAATCGTTCTTCTGACGTTGAGAATGTCATGCTTTAGTTGGAGTCAAACATAGTAAAAACCTACTTTCGCTTTCCTTTCCCCCATCTCCCAAATGCATTGAGGCTAAATTTCTCTCTAAAACCTCTTACTGAAATCTACTTTGTGACACCATGCCTTTTCAAGTGAAAACAAACTTTTTAAAGATAAGAATTGCTGAAGAGGTCATATATCCAAGTACTATCTCTGTAACAAGTGTTGTACTTTGATTGAGCCAATTCGTCCAATTACAGTTTTATGTCCAACAAAAGAGACACGAGTGATTTGATAATTTTCTGGGTAACTCGACAAAGTTGGATGGACTGAAGGCAATAGAAAAGGAGCAAAATCAATGTAAAGCTGAGGTTTTAGTTATGTTCAATTAAGTTAGAGTTACTCAAGAGTGATTTCTTGATTTTGTGAAAAGGAAAGTTTTGTAAGCGCTATGCTCTGTGGGACTGATTTGGTTGGTGTAGGTCAATCCAACAGTTTAAAGAGTATATTTTGTTGGCACTCAGATATTTGGGTGGAGATGGATTTGAGCTGGGTTTGTTTGGTCTAGGTCAATTGTACCAGCCAAAACTGGACAAAATGAGTTAAATGGGTAAATTCAATCAAACTGGTTCTGAACCCACCTATTTGCAACTGCCTGTTTATAGACCCATTATATACATCAGCATTTCTATTATTAGCCGGTGCAGGAGACATTTCAGAGAGTGAACCCTTATGGATCGGAGAGACAATCAATCTCCCCAAGGTGATTTGTTTTGCATTAGTTGATTTATTATGTGAAAAGATAATTTTTCTGGTTGTACCAGTTCTTAGTATTCTTTTTTCACAAAAATTGTAGGTGAGACTGCTCGAATTCTGGTGGAATTCTTAGAGGTTGCCATCACTTCCATTGTTTACCTCAAGAGACTCTATCCTTCTGGTAAGAAAATTGCCATAATTTTTCTTGAATTATGAATGGGCAAAGAAATAGGACTGCTTGGCAAGGATCGATGAAAGCAACTTTGCTATATTTGGAGGCTTGTGCTTCATCCTTTTGACCTATTTACTTTTCTGCCTCACCTACCAATGTGTTACGATTTGCCAAATTTTTTGGAGGTGCCTTTGAGAGGAGGAGATATTTGAATTTGGTTGTCCATAGAGCTCGGCATCCTCAACTCAGGAATTATATCCAGATGTCTGTATCAGGGCTTCAACCTTTCATTGAAAAGGTTTGCAACTTGTATTCCAATTTCCATGTGTATAGAATTGCTTAGCGAACACTTGCCAGTGTTTGGAGCCTTTTCACAAAAAACGAGCTCTTTGAATGGAAGCAGGGACTGATAGAGAGAGTGGCTGTTGTGTTCTTTGACATGGAGAATGTCCCACTGGAGAGATTCATTTTCAAGCTCTCAGTAAACCAGTCATACGGCTCAAAGGTGGAAGATGCTGACCTAGAATTTTCTCTTCGATCATTTTTGATCAAGTTGTCTGTGTCCCAACCCCTGACTAGTGCTCTTTCTCAAGGTAAGTGATTCATCTATTGAATGTAGTTTTTGTCTTGTTGGAGGATACCCTTTAGCTCGCTTTGGAATATGTGTGATTACGTTTGTTGCATCGCCAAGGATGAAAATATACTTTAGGTGTTGAAACAGTTGAAGCATTTTTGGAGCTCGGCTTCCTTGTTCTTATGAAGTCTATGTTTCTTGGTTCTTACTGCTCCGTTAGTTGGGGACCGTTCTTCTAAGACGATTGTGGCAGTAGATTGCAGGTGGGAGATCGTAGCTTACTTTCAGATGCTTCCTCAGGCCGATATGGGTAGCACAGCTGCCTTGTGGATCCCGACTGATACAAAGCAGTGGCAGCAGCCTCCACTTATAAGCCCCATCAAGTCAATGAGTAGTGAACCTTTGAATGTTCAGTTATATTTGGAGCATCCAAGTTTATCCAAGATGACGAACTCTAAGGTTCAACACTTATGATGTTATGCATAACATGTAAATCAGTTGTCACTAAGTAGCATTTGACGGCTTCCTTTCGATTTGATGGGAATAATATGTTGATAGATTTTGCCAATATGCCCATTTTCTCCACCAATATGTTGCTGGGTCCTATTTTTTAGTTCATTTCTGAGTTCTACTAACCTGTTATGGAGTCATTCGGTTTCTCAAGTACGATGTTGGGTACAAGCTAGGGGCAGCATTACCTTGTGGTGTGCCCAACCATTGGGACCATAATTATTCCGACCTTTGGAACCTGAGTCTCCGGAAGCTGAACTTGTTGCCAATATAGCTCAATGAGTCCCTGCCTTTGTGAAATTAAGCATGGAGGAAGGCCAACGATTAGATTTTTGCAGCTGCTCATCATTTCTTGATCAAATGTGTTGTGTTTTTTTCATGTCATATTTTGTATTCAACATCTGTCTCGGGGTTGATTCACTGTCGGAAGGATCTGATTTGCCCCCAACGGAGGGACTAAGCATTCCCGTGATTCCTTGTCGGAGCAATTTCTCTATAGTTCTGGAAACATTTGAATTGGAGCTTAATCTAACTCAGAAGACAAAAGTCTACAGCTTATATTTGTAAAATGGATGATGAACTTGTTCTATATGGCCAAATTAATTCCGTAAGGAATGTAGTTATGAGGAACTTGTCATTCTGATGTATTTTTGTGTACTGATAGATGGGGAAAACAGGTTATGGCTTACAATATGGGGCAAACACCATAGAACCTTAAAAAGCAGGTCAACTTGGGCATTTGGGGTGGTGGTGATTTATTTGGTTTTAATCTTGTTTTTAGTTTTCAAATTTTATCCAACTCTTCAAATTCCCGAACATTATTGCAGACCAAAAGCACCATGCATCAAGCACTCTTAACTTCCGAGGAAAGTTGTAGTTAAAAGCACAAGTCACCTCCAACATAACCATCTTTGTATTGTAGAGCGGAACAAGAAAAGGTATTGAGACCTCGGTAGAAAGTATAATTGGTCCAACATTTTTTCAGACAACAGTGAAGTAGGTTAAATCTAACTAAAATGAGATCGTTTAAAAAGTAGGGCTTAATTCCTTGAAAAATCTCCAAATTTTAAGTTCAATTTCAATTCTACCCCGTAATCCCAAATCTACTCCCATGTGGAAAAATCTCAACCAGTGTTTTTCAAAAATCTAAATTAGGACTAGTTAGAGATTCATTATCTGAACTTGTGTCTTCACAACATCCTTACCTTTGTTTGATGCATCAACGACCTCCTAATATTGATGATATTGAAGAAATCAGTCGCTATTTTTGCATGCGGGGTAGATTCGGGATTAAAATGAAAGTTGGTGATTTTTCTTAAACAAAAAAAAGCTTGAGGCATAATTGAGATTTGAACTAAAGTTGGGTTTTGTTGTAAAAGAATTAGGCCTAAAAACTAACGATGATAAAGAGAAAAAAGAGTTAACGCTAAACCCTCTTGAAAAGAACTATGGGCAGTCAAGTGTCAGTGGGGGCTCACGACACATGACTAATCGGGACATCGACCCCACCAAAAAAATAAATATTTCCTGTGACCATTCTTATAAAGTCTTTCAAGGGAACAAATTTTGTAAGACAAACTCTCTTTTTAATAATTAAAGTGAAGAGGAGAAAATGACGGAGTTGTAAGTAAGTTTATTGATTATATAACCCCCGTCGAATCAGCGATACTCATGAAATTTCAGTCATGTAAATAACTCTTAAGCAAACGTGTCGTCTATCTAACATCAGTCACGTAATTACATTTTCGCTCCTCTATTCAATGGGATAATTTCTTTTTTTTCTTTTTCCTTTTTTTTTAGATTCTATGAGTTGGATTCATTATTTTATTCATTTCTTTTTATTGAATGAGATCATTTATCAGACAGCTGGTGGTTTAATCTACTAGAGGAGGGAGGACCCAACTCAAGAACTTCACAAGATGTTCATGAATGCCTTTAAGACTTTATAAAGCTTGTGTCCACGAGAAAGGTCTTGATCTCCCACCCTTTTCACGCTTGGACTTATCATTAAAACCCCTCCCGTTGACTGTTGACTGTTCTTCAGAAAACAATGCAGGAGAGACGAATATTAAATACCGTAATTTTGTAAAAAAAAATATACCGTAATTTTGTGCTATATAGCGATGGTCAATGATGGGAGTGTTGTGCTACATGCTGTGGAGCATTGTTTGTTCGATTTCTTTTATTCTTTTTTTTCCCAGTATTTTGTTTATCCATTTTCGTAAGCTGTGTGACATTTATATATTCCTATGAACTTTGTGCAGGGATCATCTTTATGGGTAAAAGATGATGGCAAAGGAAGTAGGGAGAAAATTACTTTCGTGATTACTCGAGTAGGGGAATTCGCTCTCTTGACCTACATTTGGCGAGGTATGTTTAGGGAACGCCTTTATTGTTAAGGGATAATAATATATAATCGGTCTTTCAACTTTGATCCAATCTGCAATGTCGTCTCTGGATTTTTAATTTATTTAATGTGGTCCCTAAACTTTTGGTACGTGTTTAATTTAGTCCCTAAAGTATATGGAAATGTTTAATATTGTCATTGCATTAATTCAAGTTCAAGGAGAACATTGAACATTTTCATATCATCCAGGGATTAAACTGAACATGTATCAAAAGTCTATGGACTATATTGAACAAATTAAAAGTTTAGGGACGACATTATACATTAGGTAAAGTTAAGAGATCACGTCGAACAAATTAAAAATTCAAGGACCACATTATACATTAGGCTAAATTTCATGAATCATTTGTGTCATTTTCCCTACTATCAAAGCAACCCGAGACATATCTCTTTGGTAATAATCTTGCTTTATGTGTATTGAGATGATCTAAACTAAAACTCTTTCTAGTTCTTTTGCAAACATAGTTGGGAATAATGTGACACTTTCTATTTGCTTTTTTGAAGAATGAATGATATGTTTATGAGTTAGGTCAATGCCTATCAAATAACTGCCGTTATTAGATATTCTTTGTTTTTTGACAGGGGACTAATCTGTCCCAGTTGGCACGCTTTGTCAATTTGTGAGTCCAATAATACCCGCTGGCAGTATATTAATATTTTTTGTTTTTAAATTCTATTTATTTTCTTCTTTATATTCTATTTCTTTCTCGCAAGTTGTAGTTGTATGGAACCTGATTTGCTTTTGTTTTTCTTTTCTTTTTTTTTGGATAATGACACAAATGATTCATGAATTTTGGCTCAATATGTAATATAGCCCCTAAACTTTCAATTTGTTCAATGTGATCCATGAACTTCAACTCAATGTGCATTGTGGTTCTTAAACTTTTAATTTGTTCAATATGGCCCTTGAACTTTTGATACATGTTCAAATTAATCCCTAAATTATAAGAAAATATTCAATATTGTCCTTCTATTAATTCAAATTTAGGGATAACATTGAACATTTTCATTTAATTCAGAGATTAAATTGAACATATATCAAAAGTCTATGGACTATATTGGACAAATCGAAATTTTAAGGACCATATTGTACATCTGGCTACGTTTCATAAATCATATTGAACAAATTGAAAGTTCGTGAATCAAAATACACTCGTGACCAAAATTGAAGAACTATATATGTCATTTTTCCTCCTTCTTTTTTGTCATTTTATGAGTTTTCTTACCACCTCGGAGACAGCATATAATTCTAGAGAGAGAGAGAGAGAGGCTCCGTGATTGAGCAGTGAAGATACAAAAGGCAAGTGCGAGTCTTTGGGTGGTCGCTTGAAGCTCCGAGTTTTGCGTCTTTTCTCTGTCGTCTCTGTCTTTTCTTCCTTTTATCCCGTTTTCCCATTTTCCCTACTGTAGTTTTCTTCCTTTTGATGCTGTTGCTGCTGTCAGAAAATGAGGGTGTGTGTTTCGGGAGCCAGCATTCTCTTGCTCGAGGACTGAACTTGGTGGCTTCTGGAGGTGGTCTTCCATTTGGGTCTCTAATGGCCGCCTCCTCCTCCTCTAATTCTGTAAGTCCTTCATGTGTCTTTCTCTCTTCCTTCTCGCTCTCCCCTTTACTCTGCTGTTTTCTTCATCTCGAGAATTTTCCTCTTCTGTTTAGTGGGTGGGTGCTTTTAGACACCCTTCAACTTCGCCAACTAAAGAACCAGAAACAATGATTGATCTATTATTCGTTTCTTTTTCGTTTGATCTGTCACTGTTGCTCTGTAATGCAGGTGAGCTTGTTGTGTGTTTTCATTCCTATTTTGGTTTGTCTCTTGTTCTGTGCCCCTTCTGAAGCAGATCTCTGGTTCTTGACCCTTAAGATCTGAAGTTGACCCTGCTCGCTCGGTGGGTTCTTGAGTTTGTAGCTGCTGGCTCTGATGCTGCAATTTTAGCTCCAGTTCTTTTTTCTTATCTCCTCCCAAATTTTGAAGAGTTTTTTGGTAAAACGAATTGCTCTACTTCAATTATCTTTTACCATGCAGAAATTAAAGAAATTCATCCTTTGCTCTTTCGAAAGAAAAAAAAAGAAGTTTTGGGCTTGAGTGGGAGTCGTCTTTTTCCAACTTTCTGTGATGTTTTTCTTTAGCTGATGCAATGAGAATTTCTACTGAGATGATGGAATCGGGCGCACACGTTTTCTGCCTCGTACTCTGGATACAATCCAGAATGCGCTACTTCTCTAGACTTTCACCTTCACAATGATGGTTTCATCACCTCATCTCACCCCATCATTTTCATCACCTTTGCAATGAACAATCTAAGCAGTTTTCTCGTCAGTTTCTCAGCTATATCCAATCAAGTTTGACCTAATCGTGTTAAAAGGTCGGTCAAGGCTTGTGCTACACATATTCTAGAGCGGAGAAGGCTACTTTTCTTTAAATACCGATTCTTTTATTCTTTATTGACCAAAATATTGTAAGCCTGCGTCTGTTGTCTTTTTCATGATTTATTTTTTAACCTGCAATGTCATGACATGCGCAGCACTAACTAGTATTTCCTGTTGACTTGTGCCAAAGGGTGGGAATCATGTATATTGGTTACATTCTTGAAGCTCTCTGAGTTTGATCTGGGGAGGCTTATCTTGTGTTCCTATTCAATTTTGACCATCTAGTCTTTTGCTGCTTGCTAAAGAGCTCCCCTTCTCGATTGAAACATAGTGCTTGACCTTATTTGGCTGGCTTATATCTGGGAAGACTTGGTTGTGTATTTGACTGCGGTATTACATGCATATATGGAGAATGATTTACATACAACTTCAGAGTCACTGCTTATTGTGATTTTTTTGCTCTAGGATGTATAATTTGACAATCTACGCTAACATGTGAACAAAAGTTGTTGGAGAGGAGTTGAGTTCCGAAGATCCCCAGAAGTGTGTAGATAGAAGATCAGAGCAAGATTTCTCTTATGTAAGAACTCAGTAAAAGTCAATTGATAAAAATACCAAATAATCGATTCATCTTTTTGTTTATTGTGAGTGCTGTAATTATGTTTCCGCAATAGCTGTTTTGAGCCCCTCATGTTGAAGCAGTAACCTCCCAAGCTCCGGGATTTTTTGACATCATCAGCCTCAAAAGGTAGCATTAGTTAGTAAGGCATTGGTCATTTATACGAAATCTTAGTATGAACTTGAAGTGTAAAGGCCGTTGTAGTTAGTTTTTCAAATTGTTTTTAGAATTGTTAGTCCGTGGTCTATCTAGTCTCTACAGCTCAGTAATTCTTGGGAAATTTGATGATTCCCGATTCCAATGACTCTTTGATTATCTTGACACTTTGACAATTCACGATTCCATTCATCAAACCACAATATTGGCATTATTATCATTTGGTTGTGTAGTTCCTCTTCTTGAGAAGTAATTTATTAACTGATTTAAGAGCTTTGGAGTGCAAAAAATGCAGCTGTCCTTTTTTAGTAGTCAACCTCTTCGTTGCCACATTGTCAACCTCCCCACTCTCTCCACCCTGAAAAAGTAAATAAAATTATTAATAAATAAAATGAGCATGAATTTCATACAGTTTGCTTATGGTTCTACATTTGTCCAATTATTCAGGTCATTTGCGCTCCTTTGACTAAACTTTTGTTTCTATTGTCGGCCTTTCATACAGGTATGTAAAACTCCTTGACTGAGATTTTGTTTTTTTCACCCAAGATAAGAATGAAACTGGGATCCAAGAAAGCATGGAAATCAGTGGTTCCCCGTCGTTTGAGAGGCAAATCAGCAACCCGATTTTGCTTCCTTCCCAAGGCAAAGTCAGTTGACTATGGTCCAGGCTGCGCACCAGTTTATCTCAATGTGTATGATCTGACCCCAATGAATGGATATGTTTACTGGGCTGGACTTGGCATCTTTCATTCTGGTGTAGAGGGTAAGCCAACCTTATTCAATACAGAATCTATTAAAATTATTACATCTGGTAGTCCTTTTGGACTTTAAATAGGAGCTTAAATAATAAATAGTAGAAAGGGGAAGTTACATATCTGGGCATGTATTAGTTTCACAGGTAGACCAAGATGCAATTCTAATGGAACATGGAACTGCTCTTGACGCTGAGTGGTTTCCATCTAAAATGAATTTGAAAAGACTGAAAGTTCAAAGTTTTGTTGGCGTAGTTAGTTGTAGCATATGTGGATCTTACCGCTCTTCTTCTGACTCTAAACTCTTGCAAGTACAATGGCTGGATATATCTTTATTGTACATTCAGACAAACAATGAGAAAGATGAATCAGTCAGGAAGTAAATGCTTTTATATGGTTTTTTCTGTAAAAATCTTGAACGAACTTCCTATAAACCAATAAAACTCCTATTTACCCAGCAAGGATACTTCAGTGTACTGTTTGGATGAGTATAAAACATGTTTGGAAACATCAGAGAGCGAAATGGACAGTTGGATGTATACCTAAACTAATTTTGCTGCATGTGTCCTCAAGGAAGCTATTCGATAATGGAGAAAGACTTTGCAAAATTTATTCCGTCTTTCTATGGATGAGCAATCGCCGTGCATTGTAATAAATCCGATATTGCTGCAGTTATTACTTCCAAACTAAGTTCAACGTTTTGACAAGTGCAACTTCTTTGCAGTTCATGGTGTAGAATATGCATTTGGAGCCCATGACTATCCAAGCAGTGGCGTATTTGAGGTCGAACCTCGGCAGTGCCCTGGCTTCAAGTTTAGAAAATCGATATTCATTGGGATCACCTCTTTGGACCCTACTCAGGTTAGGGAGTTCATGGAAAACCATGCCGCAAGCTACAATGGTGATTCATATCACTTGATTTTTAAGAATTGCAACCACTTCTGCAAGGATGTTTGTTACAAGCTGACGGGGAAACAGATTCCAAAATGGGTCAATCGGCTTGCAAGAATAGGTATCCAATTCGTATCTCACTTTTCTACATTGAGTTTCTTTTGAAATATAATACAACCCAAAAGCATGCTTCCAGGGTGATTGAGTTCATGCTGGATTTTTTTCATCTTCTTTTGCTGCTTTTGTCTTTTTACACTCTACAAGTCTACATAAAAAAAGATAAAATATGCATGGCCTTCATTTCCTTTTTAATATTTTTCATGAAACCTAACTAATTTAGAAATCGGTCATCACGGCCTAGTTTTTATGCTGCCTTCAAAATTATTTTCCGAGATACTTAAGTTGCAGCTTTTTTCATGTCAAATGTAACAATGCCTCTCTTTTGTAATGCTGCTGCTTTAGTTCAATTTCTCTTCTCCAACTCTGGAGGATTGAGACGTTATTACCTTTCCAGGTTACTTTCAAGGTAGTACTTCTTAAAATTGCAACATTTACTTGCATCATCTGGACTTCTTTTCTCTCTTTTTATTTGTTTATCTTGCATCGTGTTAACGAGGTCATTGAGGGCATTTGTTGAGTATTCTTAATTTGGAAGGAGGATTTTGAAGTATTAATTAAAATTATCGACAGAAGAAATAGAGCATTGAAAACTGCAAATTTTCCTTATTTGATTACATGACAAGTGCCTAAAAGGCTCTTTTAACAAAATTCCATATGGTTTTGTCCATGGACGGATGTAGCAGAATGTTTTCTACTACTCAGGGAAAAATAGATTGCAAGCCTTTCATGTGTGCAACTTAAATGAAACGTTTGTTTAGTTCAGACATGAATACATGGTTTAATAATGGTGTGCTGGATAACATGGTCCTCTTTCTTTCACAAGGACCAGAAGAAGAAAAAGGACTTGTTAGTTCTTGTATATGATAAATGATAGATCTCCAAGTATATAGAAAAGAAAACAGTACTCCTTTTATTCCATAATATTCTTCAATTTTTCCTGTTGGTTACTCTCTTAAGTGTTTGAGAATTTCCTCTTTATCTGGTCCATCATAGGTTCTGCCTGCAACTGCTTACTTTCCGAAACCCTTAAGATCACTACGGTACGTCATGAACCTAACTGCCAACCATGCGAAAGTGAGAAGCGGAGGTTAACAAACAACTTCAGTTGCCTGTCGTCGATATCGATGAGGCAGAAGCAGTTATCCACGTCCTCGTTATTCCTCCGTTCTCCCTTGAGAGGCTGTCTACCGCCTTGGGAACTCAAAAGGTCTAACAATGGCTCCTTGAAGGAAAGGTGAGAAAACGCCCAGGGTGAAACTGCATCACAAGCAATCATGGAGCTCCAGGACATTCAGTTTCCGGTTTTGTGTATAAGCTCAAGCACTATGGCTTCTCACATTTGCTTATGCTGTGCTTGTTACAAAAGAAGCTCATTGCCAATTGTAAGGCATGTTTATGAAACCCATAATTCTCTGCAGAAGGCAATCATGTGAACTGAGAGAGAGAGTAATCTGTATACAATTGGGGACTTTGTGTATGAGTGGTGTGCTTGTTCCCTAGGTTTTCTGTACCAAGCTCTTGAAAAGTATGTGCTAACGGACTCTTGTCCGATGGAATGAGACAGGATTCTTCCCATCCATCTTGTAATGTGCTTACTCTCTCTTTACCTTCGCGGTTGTTCATTTTGACTCTTGAATGAAGAAATTCTGCACTTGTTCTCTCATTGTAAGTAATTACTTTTTAAGCGGTCTTTGACGACGGAAGGTTTTGATATTTCTTTGGTTTCCTTACCCTAGCTGTCTGTATTGGTTCTCTTCAAGATAGACGACTCGCATCATCTAAGAACAGGCTTCAATCCTCTCATGAATGCCATACTGTTTAGAAGTATTTATGCATGAAATACAGCGTGTGATACTCTTTATGCCTAGATGTTGGGACAAATCATTTTTTTTTTTTGGGTCGTATTCTTTCAAGCACAACACAACATTCTACTTATCTTAAGTTGCAAAGATGATGAATGGATCAATTTTTGAGGTCGCCGCGGAGAATTTACCACAACTCCATGGAACTTCAGTATACACTCATCGACATTGTCGCGCTGCACTAATTCGGCCCTAGAGCGCGCTAGGAGGTACTTTCGTTCATCGTGAGTAGTAAGGTGTTTCATCACTAAATGAACGAGGATTTCTCCCTTACCATACCTCATGAAATAGCGAGTATTTGTTATTTGTTTTCTATTTAGCATATGTTTCATTTTGGAGTCGCCACTAGTTATTAATGATTGACTAGAAACCTAATCGAGACAAGAGAGAACCATCCCAATTTCTGCAAACCGGAGATTTCATGGGTAGGGGGATTTTGTTATGTTAACGACCTCGATATCAAAATCCCTAACGCCCTTTCGATACCTAACTCGATTTGAAGTGTCTAACGTGTCATGCAATTTCTCGAGGCCTATCCACTAATCCTAACCATTCTAAACGAAGAGGAATCAACCAATTATGAAAAACACAATCAATTCAAATCACAAACAACAATCCTAATATCGTTCCTAAAAAGGAAATTCAATCAAAACAATCAAGTCCTAGTGAACCCCTAAAGACTTGTTCATTTCTATGGGTTGTGTTGTTTTTGGGGTTTGAGGGATTTTTTTAGAATTTGGTCCCTCTTGGGGGTTAAGCCCTTTTAGGGTTTTTTAGGGGTTAAGCCCCCTTTAAACCTCTAAACTAGGGAGTTTTCAAAAAAATAACTTGTGCACCCCAAAAAATCTTAATTTCACTTAAAAGGGGTGGCCACAAGTTTTTTTTATGGATTTTCTGAAATTTTTCTATTTTTTTAGGAATTTTCTGAATTTTTAAAATTTTTATGAATTTTCTGGAACTTTTTTGTATTTTGTATTTTGTATTTTTTTTATTTTTTATTCCTAGGAATGAACCGGACCGGTTGAGACCGGTTCAATTATTGCATTGGACCGGCCTGACCGACGTCGGCCAACACTCCGACGGGGACGGTGCTAAAACGGCACCATTTTTAGCATTTTCCATTAAGGCATTTTGTCAAACACTTGGTATGCAATAGGTTTAATGTTGCATTTTCATGACCGTGACTTTAGGCTTATCTCCAACAACATTCTGCCGGTGCTCCGGCCACCACCATTGGTCCTAGGCCATCTACCCATCACCCTCTACCAACCTAACCCCACCGGACTGCCGCCGGACCACCGCCAGCTGGCAATTTCTAAGCCTAAAAACCTATACTTGAAATTATCCTAATATGAACAATCCTACTAATCTAACCAATTATGATCCAACTAGCTATTCTAACAATCAAAACAATCATTAAAACAACAAATGGATCATAGAAAACTAACTTGGATAGCCATTGGCCATGGAAAGGTGCTCCGGTAAGGCTCGAATGCTCCGGCGAGGTGGTTTTAAGGGGGCCGCCTCATGGATTATGCAAAAATGTGATCCAAAATACATCAAACAGGAAAGTAATCAATTAGAAACATGATTAAGGGATCAATAATCACAAAATCAAGAAGAAAATCACGGAATCAAGCTCAAAATGGTTCAGGCACTCATTCTGGAATTTCAACAAACAGTTGACAGGTGATCGGGAATGAAGTTTACTTTCTTCGCCAGCAACTAAAATTGAAATTTCGAACCAGTTGGAGTCTGTGGATCGGTCCTTCTACACCTCGTCTACCTGTCTGTGAGCTCAGCTTCGCCAGGAAGATCCTCGATTGGCTGATCGGGGCTTGGTTTCAGGCCTTCCCGATCAGCTTCCTTACTGGACACACAGGGAGGAGGTCCACCTGAAAGGTCGATTCGTCGGCGCCTTTCCGGTTGGAATGGTGCCGATCACTCGGACTGAGGAACCTCTACTCCCCTCTCTCTCTCTCTCTCTCTCTCTCTCTCTCTCTCTCTCAGTTTCTATGTTTCTCTCTCTAGTTTTCTCTCTCTCTCTCTCTTGGGAATTTTGTCAAGCAGCTTCTCTGCTGGAACTGCTTCTCCCACCCATTTTTGTTATCCTCCTCGGGGCGATTTTTGGCCACTAACCAACTCGGGAAACCATTGTAACGGTTCCCCGTTGACAGTTGGACATCTCTAGCTATCTACTTCTCTTAGGCACATGCTAGAATAGGGGAATCAAGTCTGTAAAGGGGTGGGGCAGGCAGGATTTTCCTTCCTTTCCCAGTGTAAGGCTGAGTCAGGTAAGGAAGATGACGACCCGGGTCGGGTCCGGTTGGATCCGGTTGACCCGGCTGACCCGGGTTGGTTTAAAATTGCAAATTGACCCCCATTTTGACTCGTTTTCTCAATTATGACCCCAAATTTCGATTCCTTGACACATTTTACATTGAAATATGGGATCATTTTGAATTTTTATCTCAATTAAGCCCAAAAACCCCAAATTTGAATTCAGTTCAAGTGGATTTTTATTCAATTGAAGGTCCAAATGATCTAATTAGGTTGTTTCAAGGCCAAAATTGTATTACCCATAGTTGATTACCCTTAAAGAAGGTATGTAATTTGATCGAAAATTTCAAATTGAAAGAAATCCCCAATTTAAGTCTTATAATCCTTAATTTTCAATTAATTTTGGGGACTTTCAATTATTTTGTCAAATTGTGAAATTAGACTGACCAATATGAAAATAAAGGTCCCAGAATAAATTGTTGTGAAGACACTATAGCCCAAAAATGACTAGAAATGACTTAATTGGATTTTTGGTTCAATTAGGATATGAAATTACCCAAATTTGGGGAAAACATATCCCCAATTGAAAATTTGTAAAATTGAGTTGTAAGGATAAAATTGGAATTAAAATAAGACTAATGAATATTTTTGGGAAATTTTTGGACTTCATTTGGTATTTTTCTTGATTTTCCTCCTATTTTTAACAAAATAAATTGAATAAAAATTAAAGAAAAATCTAGAAAATTTTTTTTTTGTTTATAAATGGGTTCCTAAGCATGGCCAAGGTTCCTAGTCCTAATTTTGTGATTTTTATGTAAAATTTGAAAATTGGACCAAACATCAAGTGTCGACAGACATATGTAATCTTGTCTCGCGATTGCAACACCAATTGGAACCCACACTTTCTAACAATCAAGATAAGATCCCACGAAAGGTGGAGTCGTTGGGACTCTTGCTTGGCTAGTAAGCTGGTGGGGCTTAGGCAGCTGCAGGATTCAAGAATTTAGACCCAGTAAAATTACTGAAGAGTTAAAAGAGTCCTTGGGACTCTTTCGTTAGGGTATTAGGTTTCCACACGTTGCCGGGTGAGAAAAAAGAAATAACTGAAAATTTCTCCTTCATGACATGATGCCATTTGACCTAATCCAGGCAAATGAAATTTGTAATCTAGACTATAATCATGGAAAGATGGAAAGTTGTGTAGACTCGTTGCATTGACAGCGATGAAGCTACTATAACATGCCATGTCGTGCAGCGTTCGCCATTACTCTAGTGTCCACAGCAGTGAAATTGCTGAATCTCATGAGATCTCTTCTAAGCCGCCCTTTGATGCTTCTCTTCAAAATTTAGTTCGTGTATTTAAAATTTCTTTATTTTCACATGCGCACACGTGCAGGCACGCGAGAGAGAAACAGAGAGAGACCCTGAAAGAAGTTTCACATGAGATGCCATATGGAGCCATTAGTATTTCGTTTTCAGGAGTAGTAGAGACTCGTCCCACCACACGGTCCACACCCGGTGCAACTACAACATACAAGCCCCCAACTTGAGGATGGAAATGTCCCGAATAAAAGTTTTTATGAGATCTAACTAACAGATATATCATCTGAGAGGTCAAGAATTGCAGGTAATCCTGAATATATTTCATATGAGCACCCACTAATTAAGTATAATGTCGATATGGAATTGTGGCTACCGCTACTCCCAAGCTAAACCTACAAGCCGACTAAACTGCTGCTCCCTTTTCCCATGGCTATACAAGAAGTGCCTCTATGAGAACATATTCAAGGTAGAGTTAATTAATCTGAAAACATAAAAACGAAACTGTGGCCAGATTCAAAAATGCCACGCTAGCTACAGAGGAAAAACACTACGGTTTGGAAATACATTTTGGTCGGGTTCAATGCAAGTGTTCTGGTTCTGCACAGGATTTTGACAATGATTTTTTAATTTGTTTGAATTAATAATAGAATTGAGTAATAAATACACAGACGGCATATCCAGATTAGCATTGGCAAATCAAACCTGCAGCACAACGAAAGAGAAGCTTCAGCATTACAGATCCATATTGCTGCTCAAAAGGTTTTATTTAGGGGCTTTGCATAATTCAAGAGACAGGCCAACACAACCCATGAAAAAGAAGCATTAGCATGACGACCTCCAATTGCATTTCAAATGTTATTTCAACTTTTCATTGGCAAAATTTACTGTAAGTTACAAGATCAGCTCAACGATTTCCCATTTCCTTCAAATGGATAAAAGGATAACCTTTGCTTTGGTTGCACAGCCAGAGCAAATATCACTGTATATTAAATTCAACCGGAACGTAGAAATCAATTGGGGCCGTAGCCATGAAATAATCAGTCTTCTTTCTGATGCAAAACACTAGGCAGGCTATTATTACCATTAAGAGCCGCATGATATACACGCTTCTCAGCAAGGCCAATATCTGATAGAATCAAATGACCCTGCAGGAAAAACAAACCAATATTTCTGACTCAGATGAGATATATGTCGCGAGACATGCCTTGCAACCAAAGCATTTGTACACAGCTTAGTCGCAGCTATATGACATCAGCAAAATGTAGGTGTTTCAGAGTGTAGTTCTTCATAGTAAAAAATCAGATGATTAACTAAAGCAGTGAGTAATGTCCAACATAGACGAACCATTGACTTTAGACCAGGAATAAATGGAGGGAGAGAGAGAGAGATCTAATGTAGCGTCTTTTCAACTTCAACTTTTTTATTATTTTCAGCGGCTTTTGATCATGTCAGGGGGTAAGCAACTAAAGACAGGACAACTGAAACCACAAGAATGGAATGGACAGCTGGGGTTGGGGGTGGAGTAGGAATAGTCATTTTAAAGGATCTCTTTAGTGCCCTTGTGACTTGGAGACCCACATATATTGCATGTGCAGGGGTAAATACTCGTGTCTTACAAGCAGTAATTTGAGTACACAGATATGAGGTATTACATTTGACACCATCAATGTGTCCAAGTTAACACTGACATGCAATTTGCATAGGCCTGTCCTGACTTACTAGGTTCGGAATTTGCATAGGCTCCTTCATGGGTGCCTTGAGGATGAAATAGGTAGTTGCATTGAATTTCTACTCAAAATCCACCTACTTTTTGAGAGATCAATATTCTCTTGTTTCATATTCAAAAGATTTTCTTCCTTCCAGAAAAGGAAGAGTCGCAGTGTTCTCCTTTACAGAAAGTGTAGATGAACTAACATTGGTTTGAAATATTAAAGGAGGATAGGATATGTTCAGCCAATGATGAGCTAACCTAATCTTTACAGCATTTACTTTGTTGGGACCATAAAGAGGCCACTAACAAGCCTACAAGAAAACACTGACTTCAAATGCTACACAAAGCTAGAAGGATGACAGTGCATACCTCTTTAGCCATCAGCCTTCTGACATTATTAGCATACAGTTTTGCATCACCCTTTTCTTGCTCTGAAGGGTAGTAAACAGGCAGATGCGTCACTTCAATATGATTTACGAATTGACAGAGAAGAAAAATCACATGGCGCACCTGCAAAACGAATCCGTGGTTACTTTTCAATTGGAATAGATAAGTGCAACCCAAGATAAGTATTTTCTTGGAAGAAAAAAAGAACAGATAGGTTCTCAAAATTTTGACTTGTGCAAAGAAGTAGACAAGAATGCAAGCCCGAAGAAGATAAACATGTCACTAATATTTATGAGACTACATCACGGGTACCAATATAAAGAACAAGAACGAAAAGGAAAGCAATAATTCAAACTTAAATTCCTTTTTTCCGTTTTTGACTTAACAGATTGCTTCAATTTGGTAGGAGCGTGTCCAGTAAATTAGACCTCTTTCTTTCTTTACCTCGAGCATAATCTATGGGTTCAATCCTCAAGTCGCCATTTTTTTGGGACAACTTATTAAACAGTCGAGATGAATCTCCCACTAAATGATGACTACTTTGAGCATCCTCCCTAGAACAATGCAAAAACTTCTTTCCAGCAAACCCCAGAGAGATCATCAATTCATTATAAAACAAATGTAAGGATTCATAAGTCCTCTAATCATGCCAACTGAAATTGCATGAATAAACCAATTAGAATCTAATGCAAACTAAAGTAGGTTCAGAAGAAAACTGAGGATGCTGGCCCAACATTGTGAATGAAACTTCTAACCAACATTTGAAGATTCCTCAACGAATCTCATAGCAAGAATTAATAGCATCTGCTATCTGGATTTTTTTTATTTGTTAATAGGGAAGCAAAGTTATTAACTCACCCCACTTATCGAGTCCCAGGCAGGACTAAATCTCTGATAAGGATAGTTTAGGATCACCGGAAGCACAGGAGCTTTTGCCAAAAAGGCACCTGTCTTGAAAGGAAGCAGGTAGTCCCCATTTGTGGTTGTGCCTTCTGTTGATAGTAGATTGTTACTATATGATAATTCTCAGAGAACATACAAAAAGAGACAAAAGACTATGAGCACCATGACACAATGGGAGACCATAATACTTGACATATTTAACCACGATCAGCATATATGCACATGATTAAATAATGATAACCTGGAAAAAGCATCATCATTGGAGCATCTTTGTTCTGATGAGCTTCCCGAACTCTTTCAGTGATAACACCTACAAAAAAAAATGCCAGTATACGCTGTCAAAAATTAGGTATGGTGAAAAAGTTTGAGAACCCAGAACTGCTAAAATATATGAAAGAAACTGCAACGACAATAGATGCTCTGTCTATCTTATAAATCATTCGGAACATAAAGTAAGGCAAGAAGGGGAAAGTGCTAAACACTCTAGTTAAATGAAAGAAGTGAACAAAATGAAACAATCTATTCTCAAGTGCAAAAACATGCGTCCAGCTCGTGCAACAATTTGGCCACGTCAGCCTAAGGTACGCACCGGAAACACCCTTGAAGTCAGATGACTTGGACTCTCGTTGAACATAGACACAGCCAAGGCATTTGCTGCCAAAAGCAAGTTATAAAGTGTATCATTTCCTAAAGTACATATATCAAGAAAGGTCAATAACTGGCCATGGACAAAGCAATTACATCAGGAATATAGAAGCTATCATATTTCAAATACTAAAAAAATAGGTGAAAGTTCACATGCGCAAGTGAAGGTCACAATAAACGACGGTCATAATTCATGGAAACAGAAAGATAACCACACATAGAGACTTTGCATCGTTTGGTTAAAAAAAAAAAACCAATGTTGGTATAAACTTTAATATAGCCATTAGACAAATATTGAAAATGAGGATCTAATGATCAAAACTAATAAGCAAGTCCGAAACAAAGATTACACAATGATCTGAAAGAGAGTATACTTCATCTTCAGCTACAAATAAAATCATGGAACGATAGAAACATGCAACTCGACAATTTCAGGATGTTCACAGAAAAGTGGACCAACCTGATGAGACCAACCAGAGGAAGTTTAGCCACAGATCTCTTCAGCCATTACAGAAAAGGAAAGAGATTGTCAGCGTTGGTAGAACAAGGTACAATAGAAGATAAGGCACCAAAGTGATCATGACCCAAGTGGCAGAAACAGCACATTCTCGCACATAAAAAGCTAACGAACCTTGGCAACAAAGCTTGGGAAGGAAGAAGACATGTGGTACAAGATGTCGACGTAAGACACGTGATTGGAAACGATTGCCCCTGGTCTTTCGTGCTCTTCATGTTGTTCCTTGCCAGCTTTCTAATGATATTGGAGAAAAGCAGAAAGAATTGGAGTCATTCTAAAGCAACAGAGAAACGTATGGATTTCGACAAGCCCAAGACTCAATATCAACCATATACCACAATGAAATCATTTGAATTTTGACTAGGCAACGATACCTCATAACAACAGGGCCGTGGTTTCAAAATCAAGTTCGACTAGCAAGGCGGGTGTTAACGACTACATAACAAACATCCCATTCATGGGTTTAATCGATTCAATAACACAAGTTGATGAGAACAGATACTGAATTACGAAAATTTATTTCAATTAGCAGGTGAAAAGTTACAGGGACCACTACCAAAAACCATTCCTAAAGCAGACACAATGAAATTACTCCTTATCAATCAAACACCAATTAGCTTCGAACTAAACGCTCAAAAGGGGTAAAAGAAAGGTACTTCAGGACCGCCGGAAGCGCCACGAAATGTCTCGTCGATCCAATAGAACCCCATCACGAAGAGCATGGCTCGGGACAACACCCTCCCGCACGCGACGATCACCTTCCTCCTCCACCCTCCCATGTGCGCGTAGTCCTCCTGCTCCCCCTCCTCCTCCCGGTTCGGCGCCTTGAGCAGCGTGCAGGCCCTGCAGATCAGGTAGTACGCCACCAGTATCGCCAGCGCGGCGACCACGCGCACGGGCACGAGCGTGGCCATCGCGACGCCGAGGAGCAGCTTCTCCCCCAGCGGGAGCTCGCCGCGGCCCATGCTGCCGTACGCGTCGCGGCGGACGTACGCGGCGAACCGCTTCTCGAGCTCCGCCAGGTTCTCCGGCGTGATCGCGGGGGCCTCGGCCCCGGCCTCCGGCTCCGGCTCCGGCTCCAGCTTGAGGAGGGGGCGGTCGTCCTTGTCGGCGGCTGCGGAGGCGGGGCGCGGGGGCGGGGCAGCGGCGGGGGCGGGGGAGGAGAGGTCTTTGAGCTCGCTTTCCATGGCGGAGGGTGGGGGGGGAGGAGATTCGGCTGATGCGGCGGGCGGGGCGTTTCAATGGGATCCGAGCAGCGGCGACGACGGCGACGACGGCAACGGCGGCGACGGAGGCGACGGAGGCGGCGGCGGCATTGCGGCGGAGGAGGAGGAGTGCTCGTAGATCTGGGAAAGCTTAAGCGAGGAGTGTCATGGTTGGTTTCGCGTTTGGGTTTGCGTTGGTTCGTTGGCGTGAGGGAAGTTCTGTTTTTTTTTTTTTCTTCTTTTTTTCTTTTGCTTTTTTTTTTATTTTATAAAATTGCGCCCACCAAGTGGTGGAGGAGTGGTCGGATCTGATGCCCGCACGTGGCGACGAGGATCGAATTGTGGCTCGGTTCGTAGCCCTTCGATTGGGCAACGTGTCGCCATCAGGTGGTGGCCTGATGGAGATATTTCTTCTTTTTTCGGTTTTATACTTCATTTTTTAATTAATGCGATTTGTGGATAATGATTACGCTTTCTCTTAATTTTTTTTTTTGGGGGGTCGGAATCGTGCTTTCTTTTGCTTAAAAAGTGCGCGTTAATTAAAAGAGCGATTTGCAGATAATGATTTATGCACGAGACATACTGAAAAGCTGCGAGATTTTCTTAATCAATATTTTCAATAGACGACTCGGGAAAAGATTTATTATGCAAAGTGGCCAAATTATTCCCTCCCGTATTTTTTTTTGTCGCGGGATAAACGGATATTCGGGAATCAAAATTTGACTTCACGTTAATCAAAACTTGCTTTATCCATTTTCTCGCGCAGCCAAAAGGGTTCTTATCTATTTTTTTTTTTCTAGTTTCTTGTCTGTTTCTGTAATTGACCTTTTTTCAGTTTCAAATTTCCCTAGCTGACAAAGTAAGAGCCTTTAAAACTTCGTTGACGAAATACACTCTATTATCACGTAAAATATGCATACATACGCACGTGATTTTTAAAAAAAATACGTCCGTCTCTCGCGCATTTACTATATTTATGGAGAAATACTCATTCTTTCGATGTAAAATGTATTGTACGTGGAAGACCGCATGATGTATCGTGTTTTTCCAAAAATACTTCGATTGTTTTGGCTTATTTTGTTTTTTTTTTTCATTACTCAATTCATGATGTAACATGCCAATTGATATATATTGATACCAAATGTGCATTTGTTTCACGAAAAATATATCAAGAAAATGAGTTCGTTTTCCGATGTTTGGCTGAAACATAAAAAAGACTTAAAAAATATTTTCAGTTGTTTTGTGAGGAAAATCTGATGGTGAAAATTATCGAAAAATTTTATATTTTTTAAATTATTTTTATTTTGGAAAAAGAAAGGCCGTCGACCAGTGGAGGGAGGAAGAAGAAAAAAGAAAAGAAAAATATAAAAAAGAAAGAAGAGAAAAAAAATATTAACAAATTCAAGATGATCAATTCCGAAAAGTGTTTTCACCTTCTTAGATTAGGGAATTCATTTTTTTAATTTTATACATGAATGTTTTCCTTGACCGGAAAGTATTTTCAATTGACTCATCATTTTCGGCGAATCAAACGGGTGAAAGTCTGGAAAACACTTTCCCTCAAACAAACGCACCCCAAAAATAAGATTTTATTATGTTACATCATTGTAAATAGATTTTATATCTTTTGATTCATCATTAAATGCCAGAAAATAATAAGGGGACTCAATCTTTTAGCCGTGATAATTCTATACAAGTTTGCAATTGAAATAGGTATATTTTTATGTGTAGTTTTTGTTCTTCTATAATACGACTAACGTAAACCCATGACGACAATATTTTTAAATTTTATTATAATATGTTTTTAAAGGAAAATGACGACATATACCGGTTCGTGTCACATAACTTTTAATCTCGGACCCTTATGTTACCAATGCAAATTTTGGAAGATAATCCCAGCATTTCGATCTTACTACTCGAAATTAAATTCGATAATTTTTTGCTTACTATGATTGATAGCAATAGACATATTAACCGAGTGGTTTTTTTATATTTCACCGAATGATTAATACAAGCAACGACAGTCTTTTATATAAGAAACATGTGTGTGATATATATATATATACACATCTCACAATACTGAATATTTGTGAGATTTAATAAATCGTGAAAAATATCAAACTAAATAAAAATATTGCGAGATTCTGTGGAATCACTGCCAACTGTTATAAAAGCTTAAACTATTAGATGAAGACGTGGCTCGCCCTCATGCTTAGTCTGATTTTTTTGCGTGAACATATTTAATTAGGAAAAAATTTGAACACCTTCAGCTCTAATACCATGTGAAATTCCGTGGAACTACTACCAACTATTCTAAAAGGTTAAGTTGTTCAATAAAAACGTAGCTTAATATTTAATTATTGAAACAAATATATTGAATCAAATATACGACATATCATACATTATCCAACGATCACAGTGAAGGTGATGTTGGACAGGAAAAAAACAAAATAAATAAATATTCTTAAATTCCACCTCCTGAAGATCCTCTTTTACTGAAACCGATTCAATTTTAAATTTTTCAATTTGATCGATTTAATTTTAAACATTTTGGTGATTTGTCAATGTAGTTATTCCGGCCAAAATTAGCCGGAAATTGCTGATGTGGATGCCGGTCGTCAAACATGACAGGACTAACGCTGACGAGGACATTTCTTGCTTTTTGATTTTTTTAATAATTTTTTTTTTGTCTTTCTTTTCCATTGGGAAGGAGGAAGATCCTACACTGAAATTGAAAAATAATTAAAGCAATATTAAGGAATCATAATTATGAGATGACGAGATGGTAAATAAATGGGAAACTTTCATTGTGAGTGGGATTCTGTGCAAGCATAAAGACCCATTCCTCGCATCTTAGGGGTCCACGTGGCAAACAATGAGGTCAATCACTCGTAATAGTCATGTAATAATATAATAATATAGATAATTAATCAAATAATGGAATGCCTCCAGGTAAAATAAGACGCACCGGTGGAAAGATTCCCAAAAATAATTTAAGATTAATACAAAGAAAAATCTCCAACTAGTATTCCGAATTAATTTTTTGACCACAAAAAATCCTAAACCGGTACACTTGTGACAAATTTACCCTATGTTAGTTTCCATTAAACTTTATTGTCAAAATTGCTGAATGAAATGACACGTGACAGTTGACGAGTGTAACAGTTTGAGGTTTTACCCCTCCGTTTCTCGCAGGTGTACTAATTTGTGATTTTTTTTGTACTAATCAAATTTAACACAGGGTAAATTGGTTAGAAATGTACCAATTTGGGATTTTTTGTAGTAAAAAAATTAGTTTTGGGTAAATTTGTCACAGGTGTACCAGTTTGGGGTTTTTCGTGGTATTAACCCAATAATCTATGAGTGGACCATTCATAATTTAAGATTAATAATCTATGTTGTATTAATAATTTAATATTAATACCAAGAAAAATCTCAAACTGGTATATCTGTGACAGATTTATTCCGAATTAATTTTTCGACCACCAAAAACCCTAAATCGGTACACCTGTGACAAATTTACCCTTTGTTAATTTTCGTTAAATTTTATTGTCAAATTGCTAAATTAAATGACACGTGGCAGTTGACGGGTGTAACAGTTTAAAGTTTTACCCCTCCGTTTCTCACAGGTGTACTAATTTGTGATTTTTTTTTGTATTAATCAAATTTAACAGAGGGTAAATTAGTTACAAATATGCCAATTTGGGGTTTTTTTGGATAAAAAATTAGTTTAGGGTAAATTTGTCACAGTTATATCAGTTTGGGATTTTTCGTGGTATTAACCCAATAGTCTATGATTGGACCATTGATTTTTCTTTAGCTTATGGTCCAAGTCTACCTACCATGCATAAGGCAATGTCATGAGCTTATCTTACCTAAATCCTCCCCAGGGAAAAAAATATTGAAAACAAAAAGAAAACACAAGTTAAATTACGAAAATATGGAAACCATTGTTCAATTTTGTTTCAATTTAAAGTTGGCTAGCACGATGAAAAAGTGAGGGTTGTACGAAAAGAAAAAAGCAATGAGGTAAAAAATTTTAATCAAACAAATCCAATATACTTTGACTTTTTAGATAAATTTCATTTTCAGTTAGTCACAAGATGATCATAATTTTGATATTCGAGTTAACTTGGATTGCCATGACTCGAGTAGAATTTATCTATGCTTTAAGTTGTGTAAATTAGGTATTCGAGTTTTAATTTAGACAATTATATTCATTTTGTTATGACTACAAGTTTAAAAAAAAAATTATAGTAGAGATGTTGTTAATAGATATCCTAGATTTATTTTGCTGTATAATAAATATGTTTAACCGTTGTTTCTATATTCAATGTAAAGATATTCTACATTGATGATGTTTTTCTTATTTTTGGTCGGCCATGTAAAATCCTAAACTTTGGAGCTCCTCTACAAGGAGCATAGCGGGCACTTAGTGGGCTCACTTAGGGTAACCCCATAAACCCATAAATCCCCCTATCCGGAGGAGGGGAGTTTCGAACTCCCCATCTCCCCATTGGAGCAAGCTCCCATTGGTTTATATTGATTTTTTTAATAAGTTTTTTTTAATTTCTCTTTCTAATTTGATTTATTGACTTTTTAAATCTAAGGAGTCCCCCACTTGGTGGGACCCACCAAATTGGATTCACGGTCTTCTTACAGCAACCAAACGTCCGGTTTCCTGGAGAAAACTTAGGGTGGGCTGTGGCCAAAGAAGCTATAGTTTTTTTTTTTTAATAAAACAAAAGGAGCTATGGTTAAGAGACTCCAACCGGCTACTATCCATTGAAGCTGATGATAGATAGGCACTGATGTTTGAGAAGGCGCTTACCTAACTCTGTCGAATGAAATTTCGACGTGACATTGAAGCTTTCTTTACCCGATTCATGTTTGACACCTCAAGATCTCGTGGAGACCATCTCTTAAGAGAGTGCTAATTCGCGATCTTCCTCTAGATGGGTAGGCGAACCGTGAAAAGTCAATAGATCTGGTTAGCCAATGCTAGGCAACTAAAC